GGATCGGGTAGCGTGCTATCAGGGGCACGAGCGCGACACCAGACGTGCCGAACGTCGCGCCCTGTCGCAAATACGCACAGAAGCGGGAGGGCCCCGACCATGTTACCGGGGCGGGGGGATAATGGACTTGGGGTCGACCCTGAAACATCGATTTTTTTTTGACGTCACGCGAAACAGGTAATTATGTCGGCATAGTTGGCCCAACTCGACCTTGTGACTTTTGCAATGCTTGGCTGTATGCTGTGTATGTGTTCATGTCACGTTTGCGTGTGTTCCAGTGTTAGTGACAGGGTTGCTCTTTCACTATGTCCCTGCGTGCCTTATTTGCCACGATGGTAAAGAGAATGTTCCAAATTTGAAGACACTGAAGCAAACACCAGATATGATTAAATAAGCTCACTTATAACTTAGCGGTACGCTTTTAAGACGAAAAGACTGCTCTAAACAACGCAATACTCTGTTAAGTAGGCATGCTCTTCAATGCGTCATTGCTTGACCACGTCATCGCACCTTGCACAACATTAATCGAGAGCCAGTTGCCGGCCGTTGTATCTGGAAATTATTCTCACGAACGCCAGATATGACTGACTCGATAATTTGGTCTCAACTGGCCTTCGCCGCTGCATGGCTGATGGAATGGCCGGATCTGAATGACGCTATAATGGCGTCATGGATGCCTGTGTGACCTTGAAATAGCCCCCCCCCCCCCCGAAAGATATGCACATCTTCGCGGGCGCATAGCTCAGAGACTGGATGGGTTTAGGTGTCAAGAAGGGCAGGGCTGTGAGCACTAACGAATGATCTTCATGATGGCTTTTTAGTTCAAACCTCCACACAAATGTGGAACACTTCTTTCAAGGGGAAAGACACTATCTGAAGTTCACGACAAATACGTCATCATTTGCTTCACACATGACAAACAATTAAGATGCCAATGTATGACGTTATTTGCATTTGTATCCGAGTCAACTACTCCAAAAGACGAAGCAATATGGTTAACTCATCGCAACTACATGTCATGCATCTTTTTAACGAAAACGGATTCACTTTGAAATAAATGAAGTGTC